TGACCAGCAATGAGGAAGAGGAGGCCATTCCTCCATGTAGAAAGTAGATGACAGAGCAGATGTAGCATGCCTGGAAAATAAATAACTCTTGTGTTATTCTAGATCAGGATTACCTCTGACAAGGAAAAGTTATGTGTAGTGCTATGTGAATTCTATGCATGATATAATTTAACCCAACAACTCCAAAGGATTGTTAATTTTCAGCTCTTTTTTTTTTCTTTCAGCTTGACTACATGTTCTTGCATCTGTTTTGGCTGCAGTGTTCAGAGGTTTGCCTTGTGGGCCCAAGCAGTCCTGTCTGGATGTGAAGTAGCTGAAGAGGTTGATGCTGAAGGCTGATAATTGCAAATACAAATAGCTGTTCTTACCCCTGGAGAAGAGTCCAGCTTCTTCTAAAAATCAGAGCCTTCCCAGGCTCAGCTGTGTTTGTCTATTAACAGATGAGATTACTGCTCTGAGATGAGGTCTTGCTTATGCTGCACTAAAAGGTTGGTCTTAGAGCAGTCACAGGTACGTGAGGCCACATGACTGCCTGCCTTGGCACATGAACTGGATGCTGTGCCACCCCCTCACATGTGGCCCAGAGTGTACATTCACAGGCACTTGTAGGACCACACTGAGGAGAATTAGTAGATCTGCTATCAACTAATGGCAGAGGAGCTCTAGGGGGCTTTGGCCCTCTTGTAACAGGCAGCCTTGTAACAGACATAGCCTTGGTTCTTCCTGCTGGAATTTAGCTTAAAAAAACCCCTTAAGGCTCTCTCTGTGTCTTTACTGGGAGTTATTATGGAGTGAACTACAGGAAGAGAAAATGAATCCACTGCATGTAACCTCACTGTGAGGAAATGGGGGTTTGGTGGTGGAGTGACTGATAAAAATTTTAATGTGTTTTCCTGGTGCCTTTTGTAGTGTTGAAGTGTTAATGAGCCTTAGAGACAATTTTTGATCAGTTCTCAGTGTATGCCCCAGCATAAGGGATCATAGTTTCAAAAACAGAGATGGACTTATGAGTTGAAATGAAAATAAAACATTCCCTTCATTGTTGTTATAATAGTTCCTCTGTACTAATAATCCCTCAAAGACCAAAGCAAAAAATTGTTTGCTCCTTGTAAGGGAGAGAAATTCAGAACCATAAAATTCAGATTACTTTGAGACTTCTCTCTCTCTGACTTTAACAACTGGCAGAAAATTAGATGACATCAAAGAATTACTGGAAAAGAGCTTATTTAATTTTGAAACTAATTGGAAATTGTCACATGTGGTTGTAATGCTAACAGCTGTTTTCATGTCATTTTACTGCAAAAGACAGCAGCACTATGCCTGGATAAGGATATAGAAGATGAAGCTGTGAACGGTGATAGAGATAGAAGTCAAACGTAATGGGATGTACAGTCAGGTAATTCTGCTGTCTGTACTTCACCTGTTAAGTGTTTTGTTTTCTTTTGTTTGTTTTGGAGTTTTTTAAAGAGTTAAAATGAATTAAATTCATTCTTACATTTAAACAAATAATTTTACTTCAAAACCATTAGGTGGAATACGCAAATAACAATCCTGCCCTAAAAAGGAGTTGGAAAAATACCTAGTTTTTCATGGTTGTTTTTGTAAGATGGTGAAAATATCTCTATGGAGAGCTCAACCCTTCTGTAATTTCTTACACATTGATCTAGGTCATATGTCTTTAGGGAAGGAGCCAAAGAGGGTTGCAGTAAAACTCAGCTGCAGGCAAACATGGATGAGCTTTGCCAGTGAAGTCTACTTCAGTCGTTTATTGGTCCTTTGCTGCCTCTGCTTAGTGTGGCTTACTGCACAGCTATTGGCTGTCTTGAAAGATTTTTGGAAAGCAGGTTGAGGAAGTATGGTTCTAGTGAAGCAACATTTGATGCACAGTGTACATCTGAAGGATTATCAGAGGCCTTGGGTATACAGTGAGATACAAGCCTGTGGGCCAAGTGCTTTCAACCCCTATCAGTGTAATAATTAAGACAAGATGTGCCATTTAACTGATCTAATTGTAGAATTTGCAGGGAAATGAATAAAATCCAAAATAAAACTATGTAGGGTATATTAATAGCTGAAAAAGCAAAATTATTTTGAGATTTGCATATCTGCTCTGACCTAAAAACCCAATTCCTTAAAAAACAATTTAAAGCCAAATAAAACTTAATAGAGGCTAACAGTTCTTCCTGCAACAAGACTGACAGTATCCAGGGTTCATTGGTGGGATCCCAATTGTAGTTTCTGAGATGGCTTTTCTGGGTTTGGGACTTGGGTGTTCTGTTTGTTTTAACCTTCTTTCCACCAAAACTGACATCTTTATAACAGCCCCATAAACTATGTCTTTATGAAAAATCTTATCAGGATCATTCAAAAACGTTTTAAGGCTAGTTATTTGTTGCCCATTTGAAGGAGTCCCATTTATAACAGCAAAAGTCCTGTCTTCTAGCCCTTGAGCTGGTGAGAGGAAAAGACCCACTGCTTAGACTGTCAGGAAAATAGTCTGGGTTGTGGAGGACAAATACAGATTGAGAGCAGCCTGGGGGAAAGCCTTGCAGCCACACAGTGCATTTGTCATCAGTTTGTAGGTCTGCCCATAGGGTGTTGTTAGGACTACAGCTTCCCGTTATATTCGGTGAAGATGCTGAGAAAAACAACTTTCCTGAGTGTATTATGCAATCTGTTATGCAGAATTAGAGGTGAAACAGCCCATTCAGTGGGAATGGGTTTGTTTTATGTCATTCTTCCACCTCTTCCAGCACATGTTTATCTGTGAGGACTGGAAATTTTGTGTATTATCAGATTTAAGTTTTGTCAGTATATTGCAGTCTGGGCTTCCTGCTAGCACAGGAGCTTCCACTGCCAAGGTTTTCAAGCACTAATGCCTGGAATTACAAAAGGAGGAATAATAGAAGAGAATGTTTTCTCTGTTTCAGTCCTTCTGCATGACAATGACTATTAAAAACTTTTGTACTTCTCTCACTTCCCTCAAGCATTTTCTTTTAAGCTTCCCAGCTGAAACAAAGCCATGGCATTTTTCTACCTGAGTAAAATTGCTCAGTTTTTTAAACATAAAGACACAAGCCTTGGATACCAAAAAATTATATTTTTAATGCTGCTTTTATTTTCCTTTCTCCAGATTTACACATAAAATACATGTACACAGAAGATTTGAGATGTTTCAGATATAGAGTGTATCAGCTTCCTGTCCTGAGCTGAGTCAAGGACGGTTATCTGCAAATGAAGCTGAGGCAGCTGCACAGCTGCTGCATCCTCAAAGTTTGAGTTGCTTGCTGTTGCCACCTCTCTTTTGCTGGGTACAGCTCGGCACATTCAAGGTCAGCCTTTCTCATTCTTGCAGGGCATGTGTGGTTGTGAGCACTTGCATCTGATTCCTGTAGTGCTGAGACCTGTCCAGGGGTGCTACAGGTCTAATATTAAAATAGATCCACCAGATGTTTAGTATCTGAGTGCAGTGTGATTATTTAGTGAGAATTATATTTCTTTAGGTTTTAAACAGTAATGCAATTGTGCTGTGTTTTTAATTATGTGTTCATTTCAATGGCTGCAGCTGCTGCTGCAGTGGTGGAAGGCAGTGGTTTTGAATCCATGTGATGCATCACCACCACGTGCTTGGTGCCTTGCTGCTGGCCTGATCTTGTGAGGTGTTCATCACAGTCCAAAAATAAAACTTGCTCACAATGTGATGTATGGAATAGTCTTACAGGGGAAGGTAAGGGAGAGTTTTATTGCTTGTATCACTTGACATTAGGACTGAATGGAAACTGGAAAATATTATGCCACAGCAATAAACTTTCAAATTGCCTCTGTATTTGCAAGAAGCAATTACAAGCATTTATAATCCATTATATAGCTTTCTTTTCTTCATTCCATTAGCTTAGTTCCATAGAATTTCTTTCTTTTGCTAAATGCCTAGTAATCCCAAATGGTAAAGGATTTTTTTGGAAAAACTGTTGCTCACATTTCTATCTAATTCTGATGTTTTGTTAAAAGGTTATATTATTAAACAAATGATTGTTATAAACAAATGAAATTCCAGCACCTAACTACACAGACCCAGCATTTCACTGCAATCAGTTTGAGCTACAGCTAGACCTCTTCAGTCTCCCTTGCCTGAGGCTGCAATCCTCCCACTATAAAGCAATTGGTCACACCCCATTATTGAGGTTATTTGCAATAGTGTGCAAAGGACCAAGTAACAGATGTTTTGAAATGGCTAATCAATTTTTATAGATTTCATTACATTGATGCCTGCACATATTTCCAATGTGCTTTTTCACCAAAGCTAGGGAAAGGATCTTAATCACAAATTCAGTCAAGCCTTTGTGGGGCTCAGGCTTCAATGTTAGAGCATAAGTATTACTTGCATGCTATTGCAATATTCTATTTTGGCCACTTACACTGGAGATTCTTGTCTCTGAACTTCACTCTTAGAAAGTTACATTTGGACTTAGATGTATGACACTTGTTGTTTGGAGTGACACACACAAATCCCCATATACCAGAATGAAAATTCAGCCCTAATCATCAAAGGGAAGTGAGGACTAAATGAATGTGTCATGCATATCCAATTTCTCCACTGATCATCCAGAGAAAATAAATCACAGTGGATGTCCTTCCATTTCTTCTTTGTTTCAAAAGCTAGAAGGAGTTCTCTGTTAAAGTCACCCTGGGTTTCCCCAGGGAATACTAAAATAAATTAATATTGTCTAATTAAATATTTTGACCCATATTTAAACCACTGGAAAATGATAGGCCTATTTTATCATGGCAGCAGGCCAGCTTTTTTTGGTGTGCTACTGGAATCAGACGATAAAACTGGATCACGACTGAACTAATAACCAATTTGATTAATTTTTAATTTTTTTTTTGTAACTGTACTTTCCCAGATAGATATCTCACGTATCAATCTCAGCAATGTTTAGTGTCCATCTGTGCTAAGATCTCCTGTCTTCTTCCCATTATACATCAGAAAAGACTGAAAAAGTGATTCACAGGAAAAAAAATAGAAATAAAAATGGGGAAAGGCATTGTGGAAAGGTCTGGCCTGATTAAGTGGAAAATTTTAAATGGCACATATTGCAGATAGGTATCCGAGTCACATTGATTTCAATGAGAATAAGATAGCCTACAGTCCCTCATCTCTCTGAAATGTTCCCTTGCACCCTAAGGCAATTTAATTTGGAAAGAATTGTTGGGAGAAATATGATAGGTGTATAAAATGAGCAGTATAAAAAGCATGCTGCCACAGCAAGGGCAGTGCCCTGAGATTCAGAACCTGCTCAGAAGTTAATTGAAATCAATTGGAAAGACTTCTGTTGACTTAAATAAGCTCTGGATCAGCCCTTGCGAGAGCTACTTTCAACACCTAGGTCTACCACAAATGTTTTGAATGGCTCAAAGCAAGTCATTCAGAGCCATATCCAGAAAAAGGGCCAGATACTGTAATGGGGTTGCTCCAAGTGAAGAGAGTATAAAAGATTCTCTGTGCAGTCTCACACTAGGACTCTTTTCAGAAATGTGTTATGAGCTGCAAATGTAAAAAAAAAAATTAAAAAATTGTATTTAACCTGTGATGCTTACAGTTGTAGGATGCTGTCAAGACAATTTAAAATCACTTAACCTATTAGAATTAAGCATTTAGGATTTAAAAACCAGCATCTGTAGTCAGATTAGTTTTGATAAAATGTCACAGGCCACCAATCCTCATGTTTCCCAGCATAAACTCACAAGCAGCTGGAATAATGAAGCAGACACCTCAAAAGAAGAACTGGTTACTGTTAAGCAATTTATTGTACTACTTACATATTTTGTTATCCAGCTTTTATGTGGATCAAAAGGGGATCTGTTCTCACTGCCTGGAGAATGGCAGAGCTGTTTGTAACTTGTGTAACTGGGGCCATTCCATTGAGGTGATGGAAGTTCCTGGTGAGTTCTGCACCCTTCAGACCCAATGAGCTGGGTCCTTCTGGCTGCTCTAACCCTTCACAAGCTTTAGCAGTGTTTTTGGTGCAGTCAAGAAAACTCTGCAAGCACAGGAGCTGGGGAGTACTCTGTGGGATGGATCCTTAGCCATCTGAAATGAGATCAGCTCACATGGTCAGAGCATGGCATTAATAACACCAAGATTGTGGATGCAATCCCTGTATGGGCCATTCACTTAAGAGTTGGACTTTTAATGCTTTGTCCTCTAGTCATATCCTAGGAAAGGACAGACAGTTTAGCTGGAGATATTATAAAGCTCATCTGGAAGCAAACATTTCAGCCAAATAACTTCTGATCATTGTTCAAATTCCATTTTGTTTATGCTTAACCCAAACCAAATTTTATGTGAATATTTTGAGAATTGAAGGAATGTTTATGTTTACATGTTTACTCCAAAAAAAAAAAAAGAGAAAGAAAAATAATCACTGATCTTGTGAAACCTTCACCAGAGTCAGACTTAGGGAGAGGTAACTTGCATTTGAACTGAATTCCTATTGTTTGCCTCTTATATATTCACATTAGCTAAAGTAGCTTCCATACAAAAGGAAGAGACCAATCCCAGAAACTCAGAAGTCTGGAAATTAAGGTAACTTTGGAGAGATGGGAACATGCAGTTCAACCTCTGAAAAGGCAGAGGAATTTGAACTTTCCTGACATTTCTCTTTATTAAGAATTTATTTTCCGTTACTTAGAATTTTAGTGAACTAGAACTACTTATGTTTAATTTTTCCCTTTGGATTCTGTCTTACCTTTCTCCTGCCTGTCCTTATCAATGGGCTTTCTTTTCTTTTTTTAAATCACAGGTGTCTTGAGAAGTTTTCTTGCTTCTTTCAAGCACGTGACTCACTTGTAAGGACACAACTGTGCTTGTGAGAAAAATCAAGACAAATTATGTCATTCTTTCAGGAGTATTACCTTTCTCCTGGGCTGAGTTCAGCATGAGCTTATTGATAAAGTTTGCCTGAGGCTACATATTTTTTGGCAATTGATCAGCTTACTGGAAAAGACTGTGTGAAAGATCAAATTCTCTATGAAAAAACAAGTGGAAAGGGGAATAAAGAAAGAGGAAAGATATTATTTTAAAAGCTTCTTTTTCTTTTTTAGAGCTTTTAGTCCTGTTAAAGGAAAAAAATAAATTGAATAGTCAATATATTGTAACTACAGCCTAATAGATTTCTCTGTGACCTGTGAAAGGCAAGGGAGCTTTCAGTGCCTAAGATGGATTATGTGTTCTTTGGTTCAAGGAGACCACTGTGAGATTTCCAGAAATGAGCATTTCCAGAAAGCAGAATTAATTGCATATGTGATTTTAGGTAGACTTTAGGCTTTAATCTTTTCCTGGCTGAAGGCTGTTTTTGTTTTCCTTGTATCCCAAGCATGAAGTAATCAAATGGCTTTGCTCTGGTCTGTTTGCAGACTGCATGGTAGTCCTTGCATTCCAGATTGTATTTGTGCAATGTTTGGAAGATTAGTAATGATGTGCTATCACAGCCAAGGGCAGTCCAAGTAAAAACTTTGTGGACTGTGGCTGATGGGTGAGGCTTATGCCACTTCTTTAACCTTGGGATTGCTAGCCACAGTCTAATCACACGTCTTTTTTTAACAGTGGAGGGAAAAGAGCCTGTGTTTATGAGTGGATTAAAGCATCTGACTTTTCAGACAGGATTCTTTAAGTGCAAACTATCCTGATATGATCATATTTTTTTATGTTTTGTATGTAGAGACATGTCTTCTTCAAGACTCTTATTTGAACTGCCTATTAGCCAGCCAAAATATTTAATAACTTGGATTTAAACAAGCTTTAGTTAAACTAAGATTTCCTTAGGCTCTGGTTCAGGGTTTCCTGGATGGGGCTGAATTTAAGGGTCACTTCACGTGTGAAACCTTATTTTCTGTTTAGAGCCTGTGTTTGCAACAGCTTCTGTGTCTGGGAGAGTGATGCATTCATTCCTTAGAGACACTGTGTGACTTCCCTTTCACTAGCAACAAATACAAACATTCAATATATTTGTGTGATCTCTGCTTCTGTCTCTCTCTCTAAGAAAACAGCCTTTTTTTCTTCCCTACTTTGACTGTATCACTTTCAAGACCCTCTTTAGATGCATGGTCGTGCCTTTTATTAATATATATTGCTGGCCATCTTCAAGCCACCTGAACCATGGACATGTAGGGACTTGGTGGACCTGCAAATTACTTAAGTTATATTAACTTTTGCACTTCTTGCTTTCCAATGGATTTTTCATTGCCATTCCAGAGTTTGCTTGCTTCAATAATCATGGATGATAGGACACCTAGATGCACCTAATCCTTCCTCTTGACCCAAAATTGGATCATGTTTAATTCATTCCTGATAGATGGTTTGTGCAACCTATTTTTAAAGTTGCTACATCAAGTGTTTCAAAATTTGACATATTCTCTCATTTGTGATCAGCAGGTTTAATCTGAACCTCTCTTTCTGTGACTCAAGTCCACTTTCCTCTATCTTCTTCACCCTGGGGATCAAAACCAATTTATTCCATTCTCTTTAAATGTTATTTTCTGCTTTCAGTCTTTTCATTTCCTGACTGAACAATGCCCTTTCCATCATCCTTTTTTTTTTTTGTGATTCTTCTTTTGTAGGCTTTTGGTTAGTCCTGTCCTTTCTTCTGAATTTTTCAGTCAATTTCCTAGTGAAAATACCACTGCCACAGTGGATGTAGTGTTCTTACTGAGGCCTTATCACCACCAAGAAAAATAAGGGAATTACATCAGACAAAACTCCTATTTATATAGCTTAGGTTGATGGATGCCTTCCTTGCATGATATTGTTGACTCATGTTCAGCTGTGATCCTCTGTAATACCCCCAAGTCTTGTTCAGAACAACTGTTTTCTGTCTAGTCATTCCTCATCCTGTACTTTCCCAGCAAATATTTTCCTCTCCTAAGTACAGGACTTAACACCTGTCCTTCCTCAGCTGAATCCTGTGTTCTTCACAGTTTCTCTGATCTCTCCAAATTGCTCTGAAGACTCTTTCTGTGCTCCAATTTGCCTATAGCACTTTACCCCACATGCACATTTCAGACGTGTGATCTGTTCCGTTAGCCAGACCGCTGAATAACAATATAGGAAAAGGAATTAACCCTTCCAGATTTCCAAATTATACGCCTTTCTAGTTTGACAGCAGACTACTCATACCAGCTGTGAATGAAGGTTTCCAAGAAGCTATGCATTCATCTTCTTGTAGCCTCATCTACAGTATGCTACTAGTTGTCTTTTAAGATAATTTTCTATGATGGAGCTTTTGCTGTGTTATCTGTGAGCATGAGTTATTGCTCTTTAATTCATGTTTCTTTTTACCCCAGTATTTATCTTTGCTGTTTGTTTTCTATGCCCTTTCTCACAAGCTGCTGATAAAGAGGTAAAACTCACTACTAAAGTGGGAAGTAACAAAGGAGAAGCCCTCCAGAGCTCAAGTTAAAATGTTTTTTATTCTTAGTCTTTCCCTACCCTAGATGGCACATTTCAGTAAATTAATTTGACATCACAGTAATAACAGTTATGTGTTTTCCTCCATGGTTACAATAACATTTTGGGGTTTTTTCCCTCCATAATTTTCTTTCAATACCACTGTTTCATTTTTCAGTCCCTGTGATAATAATTTACAACATTTATTTTACATTCCTATGTATTGCATATTCTTCAGCTTCCTAATAGGGAAATAACTTTAAAAATCCTTGTAGATTTTCTAGGGGGAAGGAGCATATGAAAGGTTTGCAGCTGTGGTAGTTCAGTGAAACAAAAAAGAACTGTAGGTTCTAAACTGAAAGGCTAATTTTAGAAGATGACCTCAACAGGTGAGCAGATCATTTCAGGTAACTTCAGAGTCCTTTGCTTCTCTGCATTAAATGTCAATGTGCATTTCTGTGTTGACTGTTACCCTGAATATATAGATTGCAGGAGCTGAGTTAGATTCCAGATCAGCAGGATCATGTTTTCCACTGGAAGTATTCCAGATGATGATAAACATCATCAAATAACTTCAGGCTCACCATGAATGTTGATGAAAGCATATCTCAGACTTCAGGGACACATAGTCTCACCTACCTTATCTAAATGCCATGAGAGTTGTTTGAAATCACTGGAGTATCTACGCAGCAAATGCTACATGGATTTGGCACACTTTGACAAGACTTCTTTTCTTTCAGCTGTAGAGCTGGCCTCGCTGCACTAGACTGCCCATGGTTACATGGCTGCAGGTTAGAATGTCAGTGGATTCCCCACTCTTGTTCAGTCGGCCCACGGTTCCCTCAAGAAGGTTGTCTCAATGTAATGGCTCAGCGCCACTGTCTGGCATGCAGAACATTCCTGGTTTGTCTCCGGAGATCCGCACTGCAAGTGCTGACATGTAACACCACAGCTGTGCAATTTGTCAGCGGACAAGGGGGAAGGAGCCGTGCCTCGCTCCGTCAGGAGGCAGTGCAGCTCTGGCCTTGGCTCTGCGCGGGCCCCGCAGCCTCCCGGAGTCACGGCACCTCGGCCGCTCATGCCAGCAGGCGGGGCTCGCACATGCGGTCTGTCAAAAACAGTCCTGCAGAACATCTTTCACGAGCGAGAGGTCTCAGGAACAGACCACCATATCCTCACTATAACCAAACATTGTTTATAGGGGCGTAAATTGTGCAGTCTTTGGTGCTGTTCTACATAAGCAGACTTCCAGAAATCACTTGTCTTCACATAAAATGTTAAAAGACCCTGCTTTGTAATCTAATTTATACTTAGTTTGTCTTTGTGTGTCAGTAGTATTTATCATTATCAAATGATACTCAGCAGTTATGCAAAAATCAGTGTTTTACCATGGGTAAAGAAACCATTAAGTTTAGACTTTACCTCCAGCTATGCATATACCCTTAGAACTTGCATACACATAAAAAAGAGTTAGTATTTAAAGGCTTGACAAATTAAGCTTTTTAAGGTGTGGCTATTACTTCTAATATTGTATCTTTAAAATTAAAAATTAGTGAAGTAAAATCTGTCCTAAATATAGTATGGGTATTTTAATTAATAGTGAAAATGTCAGAGTTATTACCTACCACTTTGGTGATAAGAAAAACTCCTCATGCACACATTAGAAAGGAGTGGGGTAAACAAATAAATAAGCAATTATTGTTAATTCTCTTGTGCTTATGGGGCCATGAAGGATGAGAACCAGAAGTGAGGATGACTGGAAGCAGACCACTTACACCATGATATGAATGGAACTATGTAATAGTGAAGGCACAGAAAGATAAGTCAGGTTATTAACATGCATATTTTAGTTATCTGAGATAACTGAATATCAGTTATATTCAGTTATCTGAGATAACTGAAGAGATGAGAGTAGTATCAAGGATTTTTTTTCAAAAGCCCTTTTTTTTCCTCAGAGTAGTTTAACATGCATTTTTTACTGTTGCCACTATGTTTTCTTTAATTACATTCAGCTGTTCTTTAAGCAGTTGGCTAAGATAGTTAAAATGGTAAACATTTGCCATTTCTGCAGCTAGAAAAGAGCATGATACAAGCCATTAATGACATAAGCCTGTATTCTGGGATCAAAGAGTGTGTATACTTCCTGGGTATGATCAGTTGTACATTCCAATATTTTCTAAATTTATAATATGTGGATTGAGGATTATACTGTCACTGTCTTAAGGTGCTGAGGGAATACACAGCTTATCACAGTACCTGCAAAAAGACATAATTAGTTTATTCTACATTGTTCTGCATGGGGCTTAAAATTCTGCAGTGTTTGCCTTTCATTAACTGGATGTCCCAGCATATTTGAATGTCTCAGCTATCCATGACTCAGTGTCTGATAGCTTATTTCCAAAGGTTATCCTTTAGCATTTTGATCTGTTTGACTTTTGAAAGCACATGATCTGCACACTGCAGCAGTCAGTCCAGCTCCTGAGTTTTGTTTTTCACCTTTCAGAAGTCTGGAACCAGGCTGTATCTCTTGGTGAATCATTCGTGAATCATTCATTTTCTGGTTACTCATGGGTTGATTATTTTGCTCCTAACCTAATGTGTTTAATCAAATTCTTCAGGTGATTCTGTTTTCCTACAAAAACATCTGTTCTATAACCATCTAATTCTAAAGGACTAGATCTCACCTGTATTTTCCTTTCAAACTATTGGGAAACTTTATGCTTTCAAAAATTTTGAAAGAAAATTTTGTTTGTTTGCTTATAAAGCAACTTGCAGGCTTGAGCTAAATTTTACCTGGTCCTTTATAAATGTATCCTGGTTTCTGAACACCACCATTTCAATGACATGCAGTCATGAGCAGCAGAGCCCACACAGGTGCAGGAAAATGCAAAGCCAGAGTAACAGCAAAAGAACCTACCAGTTGTGGCCACCTGTTGCCATTCACTTCCAGTGAAAAGAAAATCACTGAAAAGAAAAAAGTCAAAAGTGGTACTGACTGAAATATTTTTCAGAAGAAGCTGATAGAAGTAAATAGAGACTTACCCAGAAGGTGAATTTCACATACCCAGGCACTGGAAATTTCTGCTTCGGTCTTCAGCTTCTCTATCCAAACAATGATCGGAGAGAACAAGAAAACATGTACAGCAAGCTCCAGAAAGAGGATTTGGGGTAACCTGGGAAAACCTCATACACTGGTAACCATAAACTGACTGAAGTGTTTTTCATTTTTTTAACCTGAATTTTCCTTCATTAGTTTTGGAAGTTGAGTAAGAGAGTGCTTTTCTACCTCTCTCCACAGTCTGTTAAGGAGTACGATGTTGCCATTCTTCCTAGATGAAGTCTTTTATTCCTGCAACTGGATACTTATGTTACTTCAGTCCTATTTCAGAGATGACATCTCATTCTACATGAAATCATGTTTGTATTTTAATGACTATTGCTTCTGCAGAACCGTCACAACACCATCTAGATCACACTTTATAAATATGAATTGAAGTACCTGTGCACAGTAGTAACAGTAAAAACAAGAGTTTATTCTCCATTGTGTCTGGGTAGCCTTACCCACTTTGGGAATAAACCATGTTAGACACACAGTGGTACCTAAACTGGTGCTGCTCATTGCAGCTTAAGTGAGCAGGACATTTACACTGGGGCACAACGTGCACGGCTGGGCCAGCCCTGGCCCTGAGGTACTCACGTTATCTAGGTTTTCCATCTTTCATTTTTTTCCAACTGATTCTTTTCCCTGATAATGAAGAGTTGATTATATATATTTGTTTTCAAAAGATTAAAATTAAGTCAATTAATTCTCCAAGGATTAAATTTCAGGTCACAAAATAACAGATTTAGGTATGAACCAATGAAAGGCCGTAGTCAGACTAATAGACAGATTGACGTCTTTTATTCTTAGTTGTGTTTCCTTGCTACTGTGTAACTCTACAGTTAAATAAGCTCTTAAGGCAATGAAATCATTGCTGTTTTTGTTGTTTGATGCTGAACTATTTGGGGACGCAGTATCTGTGTGTGCCTAGCTCCATCACTGTCCTACTTTATGATCCCTTTCTTTTCCTCCAGGTTCTGCCTGTGCCTTTCTTGATCTGCTCCTAAAAATGGAATATTCTGGGTGTGAGTTCATTTACACCAGAGAGCTGCATCTGATTTATCCTTATGCAAGTTACAACAGCAGTTTTATCAGGATTTCAGTTTTAGCATGCAGGCTGCTACAACTGGAAACTCCAAAAAGGCATTACAAGAGGTGAGGATTGTATAATTGTATTGGGAGATGCAGTAAACATATTAATTTCAGCTGAAATTATTAGCCAGGAGTGTTTTTTGCATAAGCTGTAATTAATACTCATGACATAGATACTTAAAAAAATCCAGCAGTTTAAATCTAAAATCATAGATATTTAATACATTCGAAGTCAGCAACGGGAAAGTCACTGTTTTGCCAACATTTTAAACAAAATTTCTATTGGCTGACAGTTACACAAATACAGAATATGTCTCTAGCCAAGTGGAAAAAACCGACAGTTCTGATTTCTCCATGCGCATAACTATTTTCCATATTAGGAGAATAGGAACTTGTATAGCTGTTAGCACTTGTTCAGTTCTGCTGCCAAACGCAGACCCTAAAAGTGTGGTTTTTGGACCAGCCACTGTTGTTTCTCTTTTATGGCAGTGCTCCAGAAATACTGTAAGGCTTGGCCAGAAAACTGCTTATATTGATTTCTTGAATAAGAGAGTCCATGAACATTGGTCAGTCTGTGCCTGCTCATACCCACCCACTGATTTCCCTGTAGGACAACCTCTGAGTGAGCTTTTGCTACTACCTTATGGTAAAGCAGGGACCAGGGGTCAGTGCTCTTGTCACACCAGTTCATGCCAAGCCAAACACTGGGATATGACAGAAAAAATAGAAAAAAAACAAACAAAACAAAACAAAAAACCCCAACAACAACAAAAAAACCGTGACAAGAAGCAGACATAGGGATGAGAACTATTAAAATAAACGGAGAAAATCTTTGCAGAGCTTTAGGACCCCATGCTGAGACTGAATGCTGAGTTGTACAGTGGATATATTAAGTGTAGTAGTGCTTAGTAAAACACACTTGATCCATTATTACAAGTGATGTAATATGTCTGTGCGAAGTAACACGTTCTTGTGACTATCCACCTCCTAATCCGGGGCCGTGCATTAGTGTCATAGCTGTGCTCCTGTTGCCCTCTGAGCCATGAGTCACCATCTTTCACTTCCTCAAATAATTACAGGCAGCAGTTAGCTGTTGCTTGGTCTCAAGGGCTTTCACTGTTACTCAGGAAATTCACACAAAGCTACTTTTCTGTGGATGATCAGTGGACACCTGGATTTGCTTTAAACCTTGGGCAGAGACGGTCCCACACGTTAAACATTTTTTTCCCATGAGTTGCCTCACCTGTCTGTGAGACGTTACCTTTCCTTTGTTGGAAGATCAGGCATCTTGTAGCTACACAGTGCTGACCACTCCCTGGCCCTCACTGAACCAGAAAACACATAATTTGCAAATTGTTTTTCCTTGTGGGAAAGGATGTGAAGCTCCATTTTTTTGTATTTCTCAGAACATAATATAAGTCAATGTGTCTAAACAAGTACTGATGGCTATTCATTTTTAGAAGGTGAATTTGGTATTACATTACCGTTAAGTAAGTGTGCAACTGAAATGTGGCCCAATGCTCCACTGCCCTGCACCTGGTTGGTGCTCTCCATCTGCAAAGTGTAAAGTACGTGATTAATGCAACTAACTTAAAATTTTCCAGTCACCGGAGGTGGCATTTTGTTCCCATTTAGAAGGCTACATATTTATAAATGACTGTGCCAGGTGCAGGGGAGGAGAACCTGACCCCTTCAAAATTTGTCTTCCTGAATTAGGATTAATTTTTCAAAGAAGCCAGGATGTTTCTGCTTTCCTCGGAGTGTATGTGTGTGTGTGGGTGCTGGGGGGAGGGTGTGTGGCAAGCAGAGGTAGTGCAGGAGCAAGTACTGAAATGGTCTTTGACTTGTCCCTCTCTAATAAACAGCACGTTACAAAGGGAGCAAGAGCTGGAAGAAACATTCTCAGTTACTGGTTTATTGCAAGAGTGCAATTTCTGCTCCATCAATCATCTGAAATTTCTTCCCAAAATGTGTGCAGGTAAAACTTATTTTGTCACGTTGTATCATCAGGCAGCAATTCCACTCCTTAGTCCTGTTATTCCAGCAGCAGGTAAAGTCTTCCTGAGTAGGTCTTGACCGTGCTAACGTGTTTGGAAGCCAGGGGAGCCCAGGATCGACATCCTTTATTAAAAGCCCATCGTGGTTGGGCCCAGACAGGGGGTCTGCTGTAGAGATTATTTGCTACTCAAGAAGGTTTATTAATTGACTCTCCTCTCCCATTTCATATCAGCCGACAGAGCCTATGTCTGATAAATGACTGATTACATTTCTTCAGAGATGCTACCAGTGAGGAATTAGAAGAGTACACACGCTTTTCCCCTTGCCCTTGGCGTTCGCTGATTATAAATTATTGCCGGAGTATGAAGGGGCTGGTACTGCTCACTCTTTGCTGTAGAGCCTGTCCTGTGCCAACTGCGGTCCCCGGGACCATCCCGGGCAGGGCCAGGTGCGTCCGAGCCACTCTGCCTCGAACAGGTGCGCCCGAGCCACTCTGCCCCAGCTCGGGCACAGGGCAGAGCCGCCGGGCTGTCGCGGGGCGTGGGTCCCTCCCATCGGGCAGGTGCGGGTGGAGGAGGGAGGGAACGGGCCCGGCGCCCAGGTGGGGCCGGGCCGGGCCGGGGGCTCCGCCCGCCCCTCCCTCCGGCCCCGGCAGCGCCTCTGGGGCTCCGCGCAGCACCGGCCGCCCCCGCCGGTGGCCGCAGCCCTCCGGCAGGGCGGGCTCAGTCGCAGGGGGTTGCCTGTCCCGCCGTCGCCAGCCCGGCGGGGGGGCGCGGGGGGAGCGCGGTTGTCTCCAGGGCCGGTCCTCTGCCCTCTCCCTCCCTTCTCTCTGCCACCCTCCCTCCCGCCGCCGCGGCCGAGGGCTGCGCGGCCACCCGCGCCTCCCGCCGCAGGGGCCGCCCCGTATGGTCCCCGCCGCTGCCATGAGCCAGGCCCCGGCTCCCCGCGGCGCTGACCCGCCGGAGAGCGATGCCCGCAGCGGGGCCCCCAGCCGAGGGATGCCGCCGCCGCCGCCCAGCCTGCCCCAGCTCCTCCACAAGTAAGAGCCGCCCCGCGTTCCGCCGCGCCGGGAGGGCGGGCGGGCAGGCGCGGGTCGTTCTCCCTCCCCGGTGGCGGTGCCCCTCTTCCCTCCCCCCGCGCCCAGACTGACAGCCGGGCGGGCGGAGGGTCGGCCCGGCACCGGCCCTGGCCCTGGCCGTGGCCGAGCGGTGCCCGGGGCTGAGCCTCGCTTCGCCCTGCGTGTGGCGGCGGGCCCGTCCCCGCTGTTAGGGGCACGGGCTCCCCTAAAGACCGGCAGTGGCCTCGCTGCCCTCAGAAGTTTTCTGGCCGAAAGGCCGCTCGTGTCGGTTCCCGACGGTGCGCCCCGGCACCGCGTCCGCCGCGCCCGGGAGCTGGGCCGGGGAAGTTTCCGAGGCTTGCCCCGCGGCGGTGTGTGCCGCCTGCCCGGCCGCCGTTCCGCCGCTGCCGTGCCCCGGGCAGGCCTGGAGCGACCGGCTCGTGGGGTGCCAGAAGCGATCGCATCTCTGCAAAACTGTCACGGAAAAAGTAACCTGTGCGGGTTTGGAAGTCTAATTAATGAGTGCAGTGATGCGAGTGGCGTTTTGCTGTTTCGTTTTCCACCCAGAAAGAGGGGAAAAAGCAGTTCTGCTACACGGATGTAGTGGTGCCAGTGATACTTATCTGGCTAAATTAGAAGCTTGAAGACAAACCGAATGCTCTGTAGCTAATAGATGAAGCATGAGTAAGGCCTAAGCTGATGTTCTGTGCTGATTCAAGGTGGTTAAGTGCACTGTATCTGATTTTTTCCCCAGTCATAACGTATTAGAGGAGGTAAGGGCTTTTAATCTGTTAACAGATACCCGGCTATGGAGCTATTAGAATTGCCTTCTATTACTTTAAGATTTGCTGCTTGAGTTGACGAGCAGGACACTGGGTGCTGCGCAGTGGTGAAGGTTGAGAACCGCTTTCGATATCACGTCCCAGACCGCCAAGTGGACTGAGCCCGTGTGCGGCCCTCAAGCAAAGCGCGAGTATGACAAAGCACTGAGGAGCTGCCACGGCCTTGACGCTGGCCTTGAGCTGCTTTTCTGCAACCACTCCTTCAGCAAAGGCGCTGGCTTAGGCATCTCCGTTATCACCTTCTTGACAAAACCCAACAATGTAATTAATGGAGGAAATGCTTTCAGTTCTCTCACATTTGCAAAATACACACATGTACAGAAATACTGAAGGGCAATGTGTTGATGTTACTGCAAATTTAAAGTATGAACGTTGAGTTGGGAATCACATCAGTTTTTATAAATATGTAAATAACTGGACTTGCAAACTTTCAGCGGAATGTGGTCCATAAATTTGATGCTTGATTTTCTTTTAGTCTGTTTGCTTTTAAATCATTGTTTGTAACTTAGTCATGAAAACGTTCAAGGTTCTTATTGCCTACATTTTTATTTCTGATTGGAAATACAGACTTGGAGATTTGCACCGAAATTGAAATACTAATTGTCTCTTCCTAAGTCCACTGGCCTGTTGCTGTGGTCCATGTGAATTATCGTGCAACCACAGAGTAATTGACACTTACTCAAAATCAGTCTTAAATTTTAAACTACAGTCTCTAAAGTTGACCCCTATTTTCTCACAATTACCAAGGCTTTGTGGCTGCTTATTGCAAGTCAGATAGGTAGATCTCTTGAGAATACTTCACAACTGTATTTCTGATGTGGTGTGTGTTATGTATGAGGGCATCACATTCTTGCTAGTCATGCTTCCTAGCAGATTATAGGTAGAAAAATTGGTTTCCATTTGACCCTACCTTTAATGGAAATATTTGAGAGAGATGCTGTGTTCTGAGTGTTCTTTGTCATGTTAATGTGACGTAGGGTGGCAAACATCGAACATCTCCATCTAAGGTCTTGCAACTTGATCTTACAGTTTTGTAACCGTGCGGCGTAATTTGGTGTGCCCCTCTTTACCTGTCAATTAATAAATGCATTGAATTGGAAATGCAGGCAAATTGTGCTTTGTTTTTCTGATAATAACTTGGTATTTTATAATCTAAACTGAATATACAGTAAATAATTGAAAGGGAGATGTTAGGGAATATCCAGAATTGCTCTTCCAAATTTATTTCTGACATGCTAGAACAGGTATTACAACTGGTAAAATACAATGTAATGAAAGCAGTGATTCTTCTACAAAAATGAAGTCATAGTTTCATTACAGGAAAGAAAACACTGATCTTGTTTTCTGAGCATTTTTTCTTGACTTTTTTCAACAATTGCCATCTTTTTGCTTTCTGAGCTGCAGTAAACAAATGTGGAGTTGCAGAATGCTAATTCAGAGCCACGTAGATCAGAATATTCTGTGGTGTTTAACAAAGCACCTCCCTGTTTGAAGTCTTTCATTATAATATCATATAAAATATACATTTTTCATTATCCCATTTAAACTTTGAAAGCTTTCTGGACTCCTTCTTTTTTCCCCTTCAGTAGCTTTGTTAGGAAGGTTTACAGATGTTAGGTGAAGAGCAATGTAATTTTAAAAAATGGCTTCCTACGTGGGCAGCTGATAAAACTTCATTGTGAATGCTGAGCTTTGAACAAGGATTAAAATTTAGTGAAACTGGAGATCAGAAATATCTTAGCAGCTACATTGGCTGAACTCATGCAGCACAGGTAGCATGTTCCAGATTCTTTAAATGCCACTCTGCTTTAACATTTATAATGTAATTCTAATATAAAAGTATTACTAGTATTCAAAGTAGGTTTGAAATTCTCTGCTGATAGTATTCAACTACAACAAAATATAAATTGAAATGTGCTGTCTACATGTTGTACTTTTTCCCCCTCAGTGGCTACGTCAGTTGCGTTGATAGTAAAGGTCCAATGATAAGATTTACAGACTTAAAGCATTCTGTCTATGCAGCTTGTTGTGATGTTTGATGGGAAAATACTTCTTATTTTCCAAAACTAAAAGCCTTATTGCAGTCAAAGCCCTCAAGCTGTAGAGCTGAGAATGAGAAATTGCTCGGAAAAGGAAACCTGAATTTACATGCTTCTGAGGATGACTTACAAAAACATCCCCTTCTGTATGAAATAAAGCAGAAGACTGACAAGAAGAATGGTTGTAATGGTGTTGGCTAGTGTTTATAACTGATTTCTGCTGCTGTTGTGTGGAAGAAGTGGAAATGCAGGGTAGGGTCTGTAGTGTCAGCAAGTGAAACACGTATTGGATATCTCTGCAAAGACCAATGTGTGTTTGGAGCTGTTTGTTGCCTTGGGGTTTTCCCCCCTCTCTCGGTAAGTCTGCTCTTATGAGAAAATTTACATGGTTTGAGAGTTTTGTTTATAATTTGCAGTTGCATTGCAAAATGTAAGTTTTACATGACACATCCTTGTGTGATGAATTTTAGTACCTGCTGTTAGATTGGCTGGAGTGACTAAGCAGCATGAGAGAGTGGAGACTCCTATTAATAATTCCAGATGTGTGATTCATTGCAGTCTGACAGAGCAACTAGCTGGAAATAACTGAGAGAAAGGACTGAGTGGTGGCTATGGGTTAACTATAGATATGTTGCATGAAGAGTGCTTTCTATGAGAGTTCTTGCTGAAAACATTTGCCATGAGTAAACTCTGTGATTATAGGAGACCTCATTGTATTGAAATCCAACTCTTTGTGTGCTTTTGGTTCTAATAATTTGTCATAGATCATATCTGTCCAGTGGAGATGGGGCAGTTTTTAACTCCCTGTTTTGATATAGGAATATACGTTTAGTTTACAAATTGAATAAAAGGCACCTTAAAACAATGGGGGAAAGGCAAAATTTATTTTTTTTCCTAAGGGGCTGTGCCCTGGAGATTTTAAGCTCCTCTGGAAGGAAGATGGAATTTCCAACATCTGCGCCCAAGTTGTCATCAGTTTGTGCCAGTTCTGGGGGCAGAGCGGAGGAAGCAGGCTGGTGCTGATTGCTTTGAGTCCTTTATTTCCCCATAGCAGCAAGGAGAAAACTTGTTGAGAAAAATTATCTCCAGTTTATCTTTTTTTTAAACTGTAGCCCATTATGTTAAACATGTGGGGTTTTTATTTGCATCATCTGTTTGCTTTGAGTAGTGTGGGATTTTCTTTTTTTTTTTTTTTTTTTTTTTTCCTTCCCCAACTCAAAGTCTCTCAGGAGAGATAAAATATGAAATGTACTCCCATTATATACATTAGTCATGGCAAATAGTTTGGCATATATGGCAAAGGCTAAGCTGATACTTAACAAGGAGAAACACTGGTTTTACTGTTTCTCTTCTTACTGTTACTGATACAGGCTTTCTATACTTACTTGCCTTTTAAAGTACATCTCCAAAAATCTCAGTTTCTTCTCTACCTGATAGGGCTCTGAAAACTCAGAGTTTGTGTTGAAAGAAATCTAACAGGCCTGACTGGAGATGAAAACAAAACAGAGCGGGCTGTAGTTGTCTTAGCTGATCAGCTTTACCAAAACAAGGGACAAGAGCTGTAAAAGCAGCATGGTGTGGGACTCGCCAGGGAATGTGGGAAGTAAACCCACATTGTTAAGCTCCTCCTTGTGTTTGCCATTTATTGTCTTTGTATATTATGAAACAGGCAGTGGGGGAAAATGCAGTTTTTCTGGAAGTGTCTGGCTTCTTGCTGTGTAATTATTGAGACTCTTCTTACACCTCACTTGAGATTAGAATCAGGACTTAAAATGCCAAATGTGTGTACCAAATGGGTGTGAATGGAGGGGATAGGGACAAATGGAGGGTGCTTCAGTTTTAAGTTTAGTTGTTTTCCAAAATCAGCATCTGTGTTTGTAATTATCTTCAAGTCATGTAATTAAAATTTCTATTTTATTTATTTCTTTTAAAATTTATTTTCTTTTTTTGATGGAAAACAATGACCCCCCCTCCTTTATATCAGCTGCGACTCAAAGATTTAAGATTACCTAATCATATGGAGGCTCTCTGTATTAAACAAAAATGACTGAAAATGTGGACTTTGGGACTTGGGTTTGTTCGGTTTGGTAGATTTTTTTCT